TGACCCCTCTTTTGAGTCCACTGCTGCGTCTGCTCTAGTCGCTGAGCTCGTTGACTTTGCTGCTCGCTGTCGTCTCGACTACGCTGCTAGTCTTGTTGCTGAGTCTGCGTCTGTCTGTCCTCCGTCCGTCGGGGGTGAGTGTGCTCTTGGCACGGACGTCCTAGAGGACAGGCAGGAGGAGTTACAGTGTCTAGCGGCTGCTTCACCTCATCTCGCGTCCGTACTGCTTGCCCCTGAGGGAGACCCGGATGCACTAGACATCCCGACTCCGCGTTCTTACGCGGAGGCCGTAGAGGGTCCCTACTCCTCTCAGTGGCAGGCAGCTATGGATGCAGAGATGGCTTCCTGGAAGTCCACAGGCACCTACGTTGACGCGGTTCCCCCTCCTGGGGCGAACATCGTCAGTGGCATGTGGATCTTCAGGGTGAAGCGGCCGCCGGGCTCTCCACCTGTCTTCAAGGCGCGGTACGTTGCTCGTGGCTTCAGACAGCGGCAGGGAGTTGACTACTTTCAGACCTTCTCTCCCACCCCGAAGATGACCACTCTTCGGGTGCTGCTGCACATAGCCGCTCAGCGCGACTACGAGCTTCACTCTCTCGACTTCAGCACTGCGTTCCTGCAGGGTAGCCTGCACGAGGAGATCTGGCTGCGCCGTCCACCTGGCTTCACTGGGACTTTCCCTCCTGGCACCCAGTGGAGCCTCCGACGGCCAGTCTACGGTCTCCGCCAGGCACCGCGTGAGTGGCACGACACACTGAGGACTACGCTTGCGGCTCTTGGGTTTGCTCCTTCTACTGCTGACCCGTCGCTGTTTCTGCGCACCGACACCTCACTGCCGCCGTTCTACATCCTCGTGTACGTCGACGACTTGGTCTTTGCCACAGCGGACACTGCTGGACTCGCCTACGTGAAGTCCGAACTGCTGAAGAGACACACGTGCACAGACCTGGGTGAACTGCGCAGCTACCTTGGCTTGCAGATCACTCGGGACAGAGCACGCCGCACCATTACCTTGACTCAGTCACACATGGTGCAGCAGGTCCTTCAGCGCTTCGGCTTCACGTACTCCTCGCCTCAGGCCACTCCTCTGCCTACTCGCCACTCACTCTCAGCTCTGCCTTCGGATGAGTCCGTAGAGTCGAGTGGTCCGTATGCAGAGCTTGTTGGCTGCCTCATGTACCTGATGACCTGCACTCGACCTGACCTTGCATACCCTCTGAGCATCCTTGCACGCTATGATGCTCCTGGGAGACACCGACCAGAGCACATGGCTGCAGCGAAGAGGGTATTGCGCTACCTGTGCAGTACGTCGGGCATGGGGCTAGTGCTTGGAGGGCGGAGTCCAGTGGTCCTTACAGGCCACGCGGACGCTTCTTGGGCTGATGACCAGGCTACGCAGCGGTCGTCACAGGGTTACACCTTCAGCCTTGGTTCCGGCTCTGTCTCGTGGCGGTCTACTCGCTCGTCTTCAGTTCTCGGCTCCAGTTGTGAGGCTGAGATCTACGCCGGGGCCATGGCTGCACAGGAGCTTCGCTGGCTCACCTACCTGCTGACTGACCTTGGAGAGCCGCCTTGTTCTCCTCCAGTGCTGTACGTAGACAACAAGGCCATGCTGGCCTTGTGTCGAGAGCAGCGCTTGGAGCACAGAACGAAGCACATTGCTCTCCGCTACTTCCTTGCTCGTGAGCTACAGCAGCGTGGACAGTTGCGGCTTGCGTACGTGGCCTCTGAGGCCAACACTGCTGATGTGTTCACCAAGGCACTCGCGCCTTGTGACCATCAGCGCTTTTGCACCCAGCTGGGTCTTGTGCCTGTCTTGCCTCACTTGCTCTCCTCTTGACTTTACTTGTACTGTGACATATATATATACCTGCTCTTGCTTGTCTAGTTTTATATATATATGTCTGTACTCCTGCATGTGAACTGGCCTCTGGCCTTGCTCTTGTGCTCGGACTGTGTGGTGACTTTGTGATCCACCCTGAGCTTGCTTTGCTTTGCTTGACTGGTCTTGTGACTCCTTGTTCTCCCCCACTTTGCCTATGGGGGTGTGTCAAACATTATACATGTTATGCTTCTGTAGGCTACAGTGGGTTAGCCTATAGGGGGTACACAATTCTAGGGTTTACTACTTGTACTCATTTCACTTCTAGTTCATCCATTCCTGTTCGCTTATTCTCACACATAGTCCCTCCTCCTCCTCACTTGCCCTATCCGTCTGCTGCGCTCTGCTTGGTGTACCCCTTCCGTGGGTGTTTCTGCACATGGTTCTTCACTGCAGGCAGTTAGGGGGTGTGTCAGAATGTTATTGTATACATCACTTTATAACTGCCTGCAATGTAGACTTAGTGTAGTTATCTTGCTTGTTAGGTGGTGCACCTTGTTTCACTTCTTTCATACTTGTACCCTTGAACCTATAGTGAAACCATCATTCTCCTTTACAACTTTCTCGATACTTCTCCTCACCCTCGAACTCAACTACCAAGGCTCCTAAGCTATGGCTCCTAAGCCCACCTAAATCTACTTACTCTTAGCTTATCTCGACATAGTCATCATGGTCTTGCAGCTTGGAGAGCTCGTCCGCATGGGTGTTCAACTCGCGAGGGGTCCATTCGATCGCCAAGCGAACCGAGTGTTCCGTACAAAGAGAGATGATTTCTTTGCAGGTGAGGGTGAGCTCGGTGGTGCTTGAGCCGCCCTTGCGTAGAATGAACATGACGCCTTGATTGTCGACACGGACTAGGGTGTGGCCACCCTGGATCTGATGCATGAAGGTGCGTAGTGACCACAAAACACCTTCCAGCTCCCGCCGTGTGCTGGACGTGGGTGGCAAGTGTGAGGGCATGCTTGCGCTTGCTGTGCTCTTCTCTCCGCGAAACGTGATGAGTGTGGCGCCCCAACTGTGCGCACTAGCATCCACCTGGATGACCGCATTGTAATGGTGCGGTTGATGGAACGGGGCACCATTGAACTTGTCGAATTGCTCCATCCAGAAGCCCAGTTCGTCGATTGCCTCTGATGATAGTGATATCCGGGAGTTCCATGATGGTGTGGTGTTGATGGTTTGGAGCAGCTCGTGTCTGAAGGCTCGTGCAGTTGCTCCCAGAGCGAGGCTCATTGATGCGAGCATGCCGGTGACTCGGGCGACGTGGCGGATGTGTACTTGGCGACCTCTACGCCCCTCGGTAATGAGCGTCGCCATTGTGGATATTAGTTGAGATTGACGTTCGTCTCCCACCGAGAATGTGCAGCTTCGAGTGTCCAGCTCGAGGCCAAGGAAGCGGAGTGCTTGGGTGGGGAGCAGCTGGGACTTTTTCTTGTTGATCACTAGACCAGAGTCCTTTAGGTCCTGCACGATCATGGTGCATGTCGATCGGGCTTGTTGGGCTGACTCAGATAGCACTAAGATGTCGTCGACGTATGGGATCACTCGCCATCCACGTGCACGCCATCGTCGAGCGAGCTGCTTCATAAGTTGGGTAAAGACGAACGGGGTTGTGGCCAACCCGAATCGTAAGGAGCGGAAGTAGTAATATGCTCCGTCAAACTGGAAGCAAGTTGGGTGTATGTCTACATGGTGATACCCTGATTTGAGGTCGCCGGAGAACATCCAATCGTTCGACTTGATCAACTCTGCCACACAAAGCAGTCCTTCGTATTTGAACTTGGGCACGCGCAGGTGCTCGTTGACCTTTCGAAGATCCAGTATGAGGCGACATTTTTCCCGTTGCTCGACCACGTTGAGCGGGCTAACACATGAAAGTGCGGCTCGATCGGGTGCCTCTGCAGCGGCACCCGTGCGAAGGAGGTCCTGGACTGCGGTTCGGGTGAAATCACCATGTGCTTGTGTGCCGGCGTGGTTTTTCGATTCAAAGGGCGTGGGGGGCTCGTTCTTCCATGGGAACCAATAGCCACGTGCGATGATGGATAAGATGAAGCTGCTATCGCACCATGAGCACCACCAGTGGAGTGCTTGGCACAATCGGCCTTGCATTATGAATATGGTTGTGTCTGTCACCGCGAACTCGTATGGGTCGGTTGCCCCCATTACCCATGTGTTGCTCTCGGCTGCGTACCAAACGATACATGCAGGAGACGGCGTTAGAATGCTAATCAGTAAGGAGCGATCATGGTCCTACGTACCATATGCTACGAGTAGTGTGCGAGACTCCTCTCGCCCTTCTCCCCCCCCTCTCCCTTCTCTCTCTCTCTAATGGTCCTTGTATTGATTTAGCCGCAAAGTACAAGCACTCTCTCTCTCTCTCTCTCTCTCTCTCTCTCTCTCTCTCTCTCTCTCTCTCTCTCTCTCTCTCTCTCTCTCTCTCTCTCTTTGTCTCTTTTCTTTCTCCTTTTCGTGTCTTGCTTTGCGGGGTGGGGTGATGGGCAGAGCTTGTCGTTCAGTGATGGCTACCTTTTGTCCAACTTAGTGATGGGTTGGGTAGGCGTGGGCATATGTGTGCCACCGTACCATTCAACCTCCTCCCCTCTCTTTCTCTCTCTCCCACCCTCCTTGGCCTTCTCTTGTGATTCTTGGCGTAGGTGTGCCGAGCCTTGGTACCTCTGAATCTGCCCCTTGGCAGTCCCTCCTTTTGGGACCCCTTTGTCACCTTGCTCTCTCGCTCCTTCCATCCCTCATTTTTTTTATTTTTATTTTAGCGAGCTTGCACGTGATTTTGCCTCTTGATTTTCCTTCTTGCTGCCATCGCTTGTGGCTTTTCCTTTTGACATTCCTTGAGTAGGCTTGCCAACCCTTAATTTCCAAAGTGCAACTCCAACCAAGAGCCCGTGGTTTAATATGAGGAAGAAAAAACAACTTGCAAGTCCTTTTTTTTTTTCATAACAAGAAATACATTTCAGAGCCATCCATCAGCCACCCTGGCTTTAATCTAAGGGTCCCCTGACCTCTTTGAGTCCCTAGGCTGCTCCACAGCCGTGCACCCCCTGGTGCAATCCCCTACGCTCTTTCGGCGAGCGGGGAAAGGGGCATCGCCCTTGGTTACTCCTCACACCACGGGTGTGGGGCCTTGTCCGCCGCGCCCCCCCATGGGGCAGGCGTTTGCCATGTGCCCGAGCTGGCCACAGCGAAAGCAGGTGCCCTTGAAGGCCCTGTTTTGGCATGAGCCTTGTCCGGCACCCTTGTTGCCGATTTCCCCGTTGTCGAGGCCGTTACCCCGCACGGTGCGAGTATAGCTCATGCGGGCGCGCTTCGATGCTGCCACGTCTGCCACGGCTAGCTTGTAGGAGCGGGAGGTGAGCACGCTCTTCGATTGATAGAGCTGGAAGCGGTCGGCCGCTTCAAAACCCGCCTCGTCCGCCACCAAGAGCACCTCGAAGCGCTTGTTAATGAGCGTTTCGATTTGAGTGACGTTGGCGAGCGCTCCTTCCGCGTCACCCTGCTGGAGCTGGAGCTCCATGAGCCTGAGGTGGGCTTGGATGGCAGAGAAAACCTCTGCCTGATCACGCACACCCTTGCGGTTGAAAGTGGTAGTTGCGGTTGAGGGAGCGAGCGAGGGGAGTGTGGGGCAAGGGGCATTGAAAAAAATTGGATTGCGGCAGCGAGGAGCCTCACTAGCAGCATCGTCGGACTCGTCGCTCTCTTCGTCGCCGGGTGCCGGAGCGGGGTTCTTCTCGACGCGAGCGGCCTTAGGCGGGCGAGGGGCGACGACATTTTCTTCCTTCTTGTTATTTTTTGCAGATGCTGTAACTTCGTCATTGTTAGAAGTCCCCGCAGTTACAGGTGCTTGCTGCTGTAACATCGCCAGCAGTGCCTGAACCTGCGCAGTGGTCAAGGCAAGGGGGCTGGCGTCAGCAGGGGCCGAGGGTGCCGAGGGTGCCGCTGGCGCGTGCTCCTTGTCGCATGCGCCAGAGGGGCTGGCCTGGCCGGGCGAAGCGATGGTGACAGCCGCGTCAGCGGCAGGGCTCTTGCTAGGATCTGAGGACGTCTGATTCATCAGACGGGTCCCCCGGGCATTAGACATGGTTTTGTCTGATCCTGTTTGCCAAATCAGATGAATCCAAAAAAGTGAGTCTGAAAATCAGACCATCAGACCAAATTAGTCTGATAACGAGAGCCCTGGTCAGCGGCTGTCTTTTTCGCCATGTCGCGCGGCTGCTTGAAAGCAGCGCGCGCGGCAGGAAGCTCCTCAGAAGGCGCCGAGGAGGTCGCGCTAAACAAGAATTTGACGCCAGTAGCGAGGTCATCGCGTGCCTCCTCGGTAGGGCGTTTCGCACGACACGTGGTTGCCCCGGGCAGACTTCCGGAGTTCTGCGCGCCCGGGGTGTTCGCCGTCTTGTTTCCTTCGCGAATAGAAACGTTGTTGACGGGCGCCATTGAAGCAATGTTGTGCTTAAGTATGTCGGCGAGAAGTGTTGTCGGAGCAGTAAAACGTGGAAGTGACTGAGTCTTCGCTAGATTGGACGAGATTGAGAGGAACTCAAACTAAAAATATGAAAAGAAGTGCGTGGGTGAGGCCAAATGGCCTCCAACCCCTCTTTTGTAGCCAAAAGAGGGCGAGTAGCGATGCGACGCTGCCTTTGCTGCGTTGGCAATCGCTTCACTATCACAATACAAAACTTTAGAAAGCGATTACACTTAAAAAAATTACCATTTTTACGTGTCACAAAAGGATTGAGACACAAATGTCCACACAGGAATGTACCCTCAGACTCAAATTCTGACACAGATGTGACGCGCCGCTCGCGCGAAATCTGCGCATGAAGGCTGTTTTTTGTTACGAATATAAGACCCCCCCCCCCCCCCCCCCCCCACCTCGAATTAAGCCGTACACCCTTAAAAAACATAAAGATAGTTGACAAATAAGTGTACCCAGGGTCTTAAAAATTTGCAACCGCCATAATGTTCACCCAAGCATTCTTTTAAGCATTTGTAGAGAGTCCTGTCAAATGTTGTAGCCTGTAGTGAGGTTTGTCTTAGGGGGTACAGAAGTTAGGGTTTGTCATATGTACCCCAACCAACATCAATGTTCACACCATTCCTCATTCTGACATGGTATCAGCTAGGTTAGGATCCTGTGGGATCCCGTTCCTCCGTTCTCCGTTCGTACCTCCCGAGCCTGATCCTACCTCTCGTTCGTACCAGTTCCGTTGTTACCGAGCCTAGCGCCCTTTCCCCCGTCGCTTAGCGCCCTTTCTCCCCGTCAGCTAGCGCCCCCCCCCCCCCCCCCCCCCCCCCCCCCCGTCGCGTCGCGCCCTTTCCCCCCCCCCGTCACGCCCTTTCCCCCCGTCGCGTCGCGCCCGTTCCCCCCGTCACGTCGCGCCCGTTCCCCCCGTCGCGTCGTGCCCGCCTGTTCCCCCCCCGTCCCGTCGCCCTGTCCCGTCGCGTCGCCCTACCCCGTCCCGTCACCCTGTCCCGTCCCGTCGCCCTGTCCCGTCGCGTCGCCCTACCCCGTCGCGTCGCCCTGCCCCGTCCCGTCGCCCTGCCCCGTCGCGTCGCCCTGTCCCGTCGCGTCGCCCTGCCCCGTCGCGTCGCTCCCCGCCCTTTCCCCCGTCGCGTCGCCCTGCCCTACGCCCTGGCCCGTCGCCCTGCCCTAAGCCCTGGCCCGTCGCCCTACCCTAGGCCCTGGCCCGTCGCCCTCCCTAAGTCCTGGCCCGTCGCCCTACCCTAGGCCCTGGCCCGTCGCCCTACCCTAGGCCCTGGCCCGTCGACCTACCCTAGGCCCTGGCCCGTTGCCCTACCCTACGTACTGGCCCGTCGCTCTAGCCCGCTCTTCCGCTGCGACTGAGTCCTCTTCCCCCCCGATTGTTACTCGCCTGTTCGTTCGCTTTAGTCCTCACTATGGCGACTCCGCGAGTTCTTCGTTTCGACGCTGACGGTAGACCCCTTGACTTTTCCGTCTGGCTTCTTCGCGCTCGCCGTCTGTTAGAGAGTCAGGTCCAGGGGGGCGAGACCCTCTGGTCACACGCTACTGGTGACCTCCCAGAGCCCCCCGAGCCTACAGCTTTAGGCCCTGCTCCTGACGACGCTGCTACGGCTCGCTTTGCCCGTCAGCGCGCTGACCGGACGGCTTGGACGTCGCGTGACGCTGCGGCCTGCATCGCACTCAGCAGCCTCCTCCCTGAGTCCGAGGAGGTCCACTTTACTCAGGTTCGCACCGCTGCTGCGTACCTCACTGCGATTAAGGCCCGCTACTCTACTCCCGCTACTGTCTCTCTTGGCCGTCTTTTCCTCCCGTTCCTGTTTCCTGATCTTGCCTCGTTTGAGCGCTCTGCTGACTTGATCGCTCACCTCCGCTCGCTCGACGCTAGTTACCGCGCTGCTTGCACTGAGGCACAGCTTACACTGCTTCCTCCCCCCATGGCGATCACTGTCTATTTCATCGCCACTAGCCTCCCTGACCGCCTTGCCTCCGTTCGTGACGCGCTTCTGCTGAAGCACCCTAGTGAGCTGACTATCGAGGTCCTTGAGTCTGCACTCAAGGACGTCGAGAGCAACCTTCGTTCGGTAGCTGCCGCCTCTGGTACTGTGTCCCCCCCACTCTTCCACGGGTGCACAGTCCCGCAGTTACCCACCTTCACTGCCTCTCTTGCCACTGCCGCTACTGTCGCGACTGCGGCTGCTGTTACGACTGCGTCGCGGTCCCGCGGCAGGGGGGGCAAGAAAGGTGGTTCTGGTGGAGGTGGAGGCGGAGGTAGCGGAGGTAGTGGGGGTGCTGTTGCGACTGGCGGTGGTGGGAGTGCAGCGTCTGGAGAGACCCCTCGTGCAGCGGCTGGTGACTCCACTGCACCTGCTGGTGGCGGCGACCCCCGAGCTCGTCAGTCGCCTCCTGTACTGCCGGCCCCGCTAGGTGGAGCAGCGGCGTGGTACCAGGCTCAGCGTCAGCAGCACCTTCAGCAGCAGCAGCAGCCCCTTTCCTCCCAGCAGCCTCAGCAGCAGCAGCGTCAGCAGCTGGCTCTGGGGTCGGGGCTGCGTCAGCCCCAGCGCGGTGCGGCTTACCCTCCCTGCCCCTACCAGGTTCAGACAGGTCCTCGTCGGGGCCACCCTTGTGGCCGCTTTCACCCCCCTGGTCAGTGCTTTGCTTAGCTCACTGACACGGTCCGGTTGACCTACGGGGTTGGCGGTCCTGCTCCTGACTGGCTTCCTCTGGTTCAGCGCTACGGCTCCGCTCTGTGGGGCATGTCTGCTGAGCAGTTAGTTGATCTGATTAGTGCTCCTCATGCTATGTATGCTGTTGTTGACTCTAGTGTTTCTGACTCTGTTTACTCTGGTGTTGTTAGCTTAGGTGCTAGTCTTGCTCAGTTGCCTGTTGCTAGTGTAGGTACTTGTGTAGACTCTAGACCAGCGACTACCTCAGGGGACGCTTCGCTGTCGTTCACACTGGACTCTGGAGCCTCCCACTGCTTCTTCCGGGACAGCACGACACTTACACCACTTCCTGCGCCTGTTTCTGTAGCGTTGGCTGATCCCACTACGGGACCAGTCACTGCCCGTCACACTACCACTTTACCGTGTCCTGCTGCTCCCTCCGGGTCTCTCACTGGGTTTCACGTCCCCTCGTTCTCCCGGAACTTGGTGGGCGTGCGACCCCTCGTGAGTCAGCACGTGGGTGTGTGGTTTGAGCCTTCTGGAGAGACTGCGGTGTGTGTTGACGGAGACTCTTACCAGCCTCTTGCTACCTTTACTGCTGAGCCGGGCTCGGGTCTCTACACTCTTCACACTGGCCCGCGTGCGCCGCAGCAGCAGCCGCAGCAGCAGCAGCAGCCGCAGCCGCAGCAGCAGCAGCAGCAGCAGCAGCAGCAGCAGCAGCAGCAGCAGCAGCAGCAGCAGCACCAGCGGCCGCACCAGCAGCCCCCCCTACTGCCACTGCCCCCGGTTCCCCCCCCCGTTCGGGTCCCCGTGTCTCACCAGGTTGCTTCGTCCCCCCAGGTGTCTGTGTCGTGTCAGGTTCCTACGTCTGTTCCAGTCGCTGCGTCGTGCTCCTGCCGGTCGCTTGCCCACCCCACCGTTCTGTGGCACCACCGGATGGGGCACCCGTCCCTTCCTCGTCTGCGCGCTATGTCTAGTCAGCGTCTTGTCCTAGGCCTCCCACGTGTCTTGCCGTCGCTGCCGCCTTCGCTTGCGCCGCCGTGTCGTCCCTGCGTCGAGGGTAGGCTGCGCGCCACCCCTCACTCCTCCTCCCTTCGTCCGGCCACCGAGCCTTTTGAGACGCTTCACTTGGACGTCTGGGGCCCCGCCCCTCGTCTAGGCCCTGAGCGTGAGCGTTACTTTCTGGTGGTCGTTGACGACTTCTCCCGCTACACCACAGTGTTCCCACTGGCGAAGAAGTCTGAGGTGACTTCTACGCTGATCAGGTGGTTGCTCACCACCGAGGACACTCGTGGTCGTCGTGTCAGCTGTCTCCACTCCGACCGTGGGGGTGAGTTTCGCTCCGGCATTCTCGCTGGATTCTGTCGCGAGCAGGGCATTCGTCAGTCCTGGACGCTTCCAGAGTCCCCACAGCAGAATGGGGTTGCTGAGCGCCGCATAGGCCTGGTCATGGAGATCGCCCGCACCTCCCTGACTCACGCCTGTGCCCCCCATTTTCTGTGGCCCTACGCGGTCAGGTACGCCGCGCACCAGCTGAACCTCTGGCCACGTGTCTCTCGACCAGAGGTTTCACCGACCAGTCTTTGGACAGGGTCCCCTGGTGTTGCGTCGCGGTTTCGTGTCTGGGGGTGCTTGGCTCTTGTCCGCGACACCTCCGCGGACAAGCTCTCGCCTCGTGCCGTCCCCTGTGTCTTCCTTGGTTTCCCTGAGGACTCCTCTGACTTCACCTTTTACCACCCTCCCTCTCACCGGTTCTTTGACTCCCGTGACGTCCGTTTCGAGGAGTCCACTCCGTACTACGTCAGGTACCCCAGTCGAGGTCTCCCGGTTCCTCCTCCCCCCCTCTTCCCGACTGCCGCTCCCCCTCCTGCTCCCCTGGTACAGCCTCCCCCCCCTGGCCCAGCCCCG